TCCCAATGAGGCCTCACCCAACTCTAGCCCACACCGAAGGACACGCCAGTTGAAACAGTAAATCTCAGTCACAATGGACAGTAAAAGGTGTCTGTGTGTACAGTACACGGGCATGCGGCGGGTTTCTTTCTTTCAATTTAGCTTACTATTTCAATATCCACAGCTAACTATTAATAATTACTTGCTTCCTGTTTGAGGGTTTAATGTAACACTCTCATGCCTAGACTCTAAACATTTTTTTCTTTTTTTCAATATTTTTTTGCAGTTATTTGTTAAATCAACTATGTTTCTAGCTTTCCATTCCTAATTATTCACTGCTTCCTACCAACTTATGGGAATGATGAATCTTTTTTCATGTAAAATCTATTGACTATGAATGTTGTTTATTACTTAAATTCAACGGTATCCATGTTATGTTTGATGTATCCAACATATTCTCACAATTTCTCGAAAAAACATCATATCTTGTGATTGATATCATAGTTTTGTTAGGTAAAGTTCAACAAACTCAATCAATATTCGAACTCTTTGAAGTAGCTATGTACATGTGAATATGAAGTACTGAGTAGCTAAAACTCTACTTGAGTTAGTACGATTTTTTGCACTATCAATTAAAATTCAATACATGATTATCTTATTACAATTTAGTCATACTAATTGTGCAGTAGGGGACATCTTATCAAAATTGTATCGAAAGACTCCTTGATTGATCAGTTTCAGGATGTAATCAATTATACCAAATAGAAGTGATAAAATTTATAAGATGCTCTCAAAGTTTGCTATAATTATTGAGGTTCAACAACATGTTAATCGTAAGGTGGTCATTGGGCATTTTTCTATCTCCTAGCTCGCCTAGACACGCTTAGACATTGTAATAAAATAGTAATTTTTAATAATAATGAATGAAGTAACAGTTCTGAAGCACTTTCATACTTTAGTTCAAATGATTTAACAACAAGCAAAATAACTCTCAAGTTAATAATTTTTTTATACCAAATGGTATAATTAATTCATTTATGAGCTGAAATAGCTAATTATAAGCACTTCAATTTTTAAGTTAAAACTCATATGATACAATTGTTTGACGAAATGGTTTTTATCATAGAGTGGTTCTATCGAGAGAGGTCTCTAAGAAACATGACTTACTTTATTATTCCTTAGGTAGATATAATATATATCTTCAACGTTACTTTTATGTTGGATTCAATTTAGTATACTTTTTCGTTTAGATAGATTTTGTTAATGATTTTTGGGATATAATATATCATTATTGTATGATGGTGTAGGATATTAGTTCCTCTCATTTTAGGTTCAAATTGATGCATTTTCCCCTTTATCTTTCCCTTTTATCAGTTAATAATTTTCATGATATGGAATATCGTGAGCAAAATCTATACACAACAATTTGTGTTTTTTCTCTTCCTCTTCTCTTGATTAGATATTGTGTCCATATTGATTCTTATATTGATTATTGAATTACTACCTTTTTGTTATGAAGTTTATAACTAAGATGCATTTTTTTTATAAACATGAAACTAAGATGCATATTGATAAAGAATGTAAGGTGTCATCTTCCCTCTTAAGGCTTAAGCACTGCATATCATTGTTTACCTACTGTTAAATCAAAGTCTTTCTAACTTGAGTACGAGCTACAATGACTTTTATTGTTGTCGATTTTCCCCCAAAATATTAGGTATGGTCCTTTTAGTTTTCGCATTCTTTTCAGTTTGATTTAGCTTTTTATGTGTTCTCTATTAGTTGAACTTGGCAGTTGTAGATCTGCATGCTTCGACTACATTAATGTCACAGTGACTTCTATATGAAATGACACTCGAAACATGAGTGTGTGATTTAGTTTGTTTCTTATTAAGGATACTCTAAACATATATTTTGTTTCATTATATCATTGAATACACTAAAGTCAATGGAAAAGTCGTAACATTTTATCGTATACTGAAGATTGATTATGCATGTATGATGTAAAACAACTCTTACCATTGTTCTTCTTAGACGTTTTTATATCAATACGACTTCGTTTGAAAATATGTATTTATGTTAGTGTAGTTAGACGTTGTTCGACATTTTTAAAACTTCGTTAGTCAAATACATCAAATACATTCTTACATTATTAATGGAGAACTTACCAAACTAAATAGTTACTTCAAACCCCAACAACATGAACCATAACAAAAATATATACATACACTTATACATGACAACACGAGAATCAAACTCTCCCGGCCAAGAGGCCGGGCCATAATCTAGTAAGTAGAGCCTTCGTAGGAGTCCATGTTGGCCAAGTGGCCTAGTAGGGTTAAGGACTAGCTAGGGTTGCGTATTAGGTTGTAACTATGACATTAGTCCGATTTAATCAATCAATCAATAAACAAAATAGGTTTTCGACACTTTACATCGTGCTCTCACTTGTGAGTTACAAGTAAAATCCTTGAACTCGTAGGTTACGAGTTCATCACTTTGCCTCCTCCGCGAGCATACGGCAATTTTCCACCGCGGAATCGGCTGCTGCGGTAATGCGTAAGGTCGGAGGCGGGGACTGTCAGTTTCTAATTGATTGAATTCTTGCAGGCCATTCTTACCATATGCGAATCAAGTGAGGTTATGGGATTCGACGAAGGAGATGTTCTCATCTTCCCTGATATGATCAAGTACAAGTGAGTTAATTTCTCTGAATCAGCTTAGATACATAAGATTTTCTTTGTTTTCTGGGCACCCATTTCTGTTACCATCTTTCTGTTTTGTCATATTATGCTTCCGGCCTACTAGCAATGTTGATAACTTGCTTCCAAGCTCTGAGGTTAAGTATTAGAATACTGGTGGACTACTGTTTTCTTGATTCTCTAATGCTCTAGCTAAGTGGAGTGGGAGATGTCCAAAATTTGGGACCATTTTCTGTATCTAATGAACGAATTCCTCTTTTTCGAGCGATTTTGATGTGTAAGTCGGATTTCATTATTTATTTGTAATCAGGCGATTAGAGGACTTGGATGTTGCTGAGTTCATTGACGATGTGCTTGTGAAACATGTACCATGGGTGTCTAGAGTGCAGGAGCAGCTGACCGGCTCTCACATCTTTGTATGTGCTCATGGGAGTCGTGGTGAGATATACGGTCTCTGTGCCCCAGTTCTTTTCGAGAAGCTTAAAGAGGGCGTCGAGGCTCGAGGGTTGCAGGATCAGGTTTACGTCATCGGTTGCTCAGACGTGACGGGCCACGAGTACCCTCCAAACTTGATTGTATACAGATCGGACTCGGAGGAGAGAGTTACCGGTCACTGGTGATGATCAGGCTTTGGATGCCAATTCCTCAATCTCTTGATTTTCCATAGTCATTTTGGGAAATTGAAGGACGAATACTAACTGAAACTATTGCTGCAGGTACGGCCATGTTACTCCTGCCGATGTGCCAAACATTCTGGATGAGCATGTTGGGAAAGGAGAGGTGATGGTACATAAATTGAGGTTTGTGATTTTGTGCTTTGGTCTCTGTTCCAGCATATAGGGTGATGATGAGTAAATTTGGAGATGTTACATGGGGCATGTACAACGAGGAGACAACTTGAAATGAGTTGGATGGAAGTACGGATACATTTGACATTTTCAATCCACTTCGAAGGAGCAAGCTGCTAAACCAAATTAGCGATTGACAGGTCGAGGACCTAAACTAGAACAAAATGTCAATGAGTTACCTGGAGTTCAAGAGACTGTTGAAAATATTACAACGAGGACAAACATTTCTACTACCATATTCATGGGCATGGACAAATGGTCGAATGCGCAAATCACAGCGCTCAAATGTCTTTTTTTCACGGATGTCATATACTACAACCAAGATTGGAGGTAAAAACAGATAGTTTCAGAGTCACCCCAAGTGATTAAGCCACTGAACTATTGAATTTGGATATATGGTGAGCAAGTCAAGTCATTCAGATCAAAATGAAATCTTTATATTTGATCGAGTCAATAAGTCATTCAAGGATGTTGACAAGGAAGCACATTGAGTCAATAGCGGACCCACAAGACACCCTTAAAATTTGAGAACAAATTATTGACCTATTAGTAGTAGTTTGAGTTTTGAGATATGATTAGATTAATAGTTTTTTAGAGGTGCTCGGTACACCTCAAAAATTTGGTGAAATAAACAATCTTCCAATAGTAGTTTGATTTTTTTTAAAAAATATAGATAGATAGTAGATTTTGTGATTTGAACTCGTAACACCGCAATTATTAGAGAAAAATCTATGCATTACACTACAAACAATTTGTTGTTATGTTTAAAACATAAATGCAACTCGGGCCGGAGCCAGTGGAAGCAGCTCCAATCTTCTAACCCATAAAACATTCTGTTCCGTGAAAGAGTGCCTAGTTTCCAAGTCTAACTCCTTACAAAAATCCTGAAGGCAAACTGGTTTGATATCCACTCTGAAGAACCTCTTGTTATTGAGACTAGAATCAATACTCGCGGCGGCTGCGCAACGCCGCGAGAACTAAAGTTGCATCAGTATGGTGGTCAGGAAAATATCTGTTTGAGCTAACTACTATGATAAATAAGAGGTACTCAATCCAAGTACGTACTAAAACATTTCCACAGACAGTAACAGTAAAGTTACTTGTGCATTTGCCATGTTAATAAACAATTATGTAAAGATCACTTTTGTAATTAGCTTATCTGAGTTTTGCTTTAGCCTCAAAGAAATGGAATCGTAAGACCCACCATTTTTGTTACCTTCTCTTTATGGTCAGGAGCAAGTACCATATGTTTTGTTAAAAACATTTACATTCTTGTTTTGGAACTCGAACTATATAGTATATACTACGCTATGGAAAAAGAGAGTGATGATTTAAGAAATTGCTTCATCTATGATCTTATTTGAAGATACATTTAAAACTTTACGATCTAACAACAGGCACATACTCAAAGAGTTCCAATTTGTGGAATGGACTGGAATAGGTAAGTAACAACGGTGTAGGAGAATCAAGCAGCAGTGAAATCCTACTTATATTACAGGGCCCGACCTGTAAAAGCAAATGATGGTAAATAATTGGTTTCATATGGAAGCTAAAAGGTCCAGAGATGAGAGGCGAAGCGAACAAATCCATGAAATCCAATCAATTCGGAAAAGGTTATGAAACTTTGAACTACATAGAGATCCGGCACTCCTCTCGGAACCCATACCGAGCAGCAAGGATGGCGATTTTGTTTAACCGAAACAAAAAATGCAGCAATGCAAGCACATTAAGTCTCATAGAACGTATGTGATAAATGAATTAGTGAGTACATCGAGAAAATCAATAGAGGAAAAGCACCTTGCAACCTGCGTCTCTGCAACTCAAACACCCGCCGATGTAATCGCCCTTTGCACCCTCGTCCTCTCTCGCTTCGCCGGTCAGATCCCGTCCTCCATCTCGAACCTCCGTGGCTCTGCTAGGAAAGTTCCTGTGCAAGGTACCGACAATCTGGGGATGACATTGATTCCATAATCATACAAACCAACTATTCCGCGAAATCGAATTACCAACGAAGATCGCCTCTCCCAGTCATCCTCTGGAAAAACTGTTGGTCTAGGAGTTCTTGAGCATCAGTACCAAAGCTGAGATGCCCAATCTCACAGGAGAAGAAGAGTTCATGCTCATCATCGGTCCACTTGCGCCAGTCTTCTCCATTGTGTAGCAGCGCCATACTACCAAAACACTACTTTCATATTTGGAGGGCGTGGAAGCTCCAATAAGGAAATCAAAGTGAACCCAGTTGCAAGTGCTCTCTTCGGTGCCGATGGTGGATTCCCACTCTTGCTGCCGCTGCAACTTTTGGCTCGGTGGGTGGAATAAAAAGAGAGAAGAAGGCTTAAACGTATTGGGACGGATGGAATAATTCCTCTAATGGAATTGGGACTGGAAAGAGAAGTTATTGGAGAAAATTTGAGGGATGTGACTTGAGAGGAAGGCGAATGGGAGAAGGATTTGGCAGTAAGAGAGAGGGAAGGTGAAGATTTTTACTTTCATGGTCAGAACTCAGAAGTCAGAGGTAAGGTGAAAGGTAGGGTTAGTTCATGGGTGCTTGTGGAAGTCATCTCTTTCTTTTGCTTTTGTGTTATGACAGGCCATGGGGTGTTTTCTTTTCAACATCCGTGCGAGGGATTGGGTAAAGGGCAAGAACCAAGAAGGCTCTTTCAGGCTAAAATTCACTAAACGCCAAAAATTGAAACAGTACATAGGATAGGAGGTTTGGGTAAAAAGCGTAGCCACTAATTATATAGAATAGAATAGAATACCTATTTATCTACCTCGGTGAAAAATTGAAGGCAGAACAGAAAATAAATCCAGTAACTGCTCCACCAAGCTTGGCAAATCAAAGATTAAAATCGACTTGTCACTATTTCTCGAACGCTGACGGGGAGGAATCCAAACAATAGGTATTTCAGATGGCAACAAACACCACTGACCTAGAAAGTGTGCACTCCTAAATTGTAGAATCTTCGTCAACCAACAGAAGCACAAAGTTAGGGAGGGAGCTATGAGACCGCCACCAGTATCACATTGGTAGCAATGCTCTAAGTGCTCCCAAATTGGTCCGACTGAGATGCGTGCTTCATGTGCAGAAATTAAGCTTCTTCATGACCTTTGCATAAGCTGCTGGCACTATAGCGGGCTTTCTAAGTCTGCGCTTTGCTTTGCTCGACTGCATCAAGTAACAAAGATTCGTTAACCATTCCATGTAAACCTAAACGACAAGCCTGCACATCCAAGCTGAATGGAGCAGCTCTAGCGAGGATTTCAATTAGACTAAACGCTTGTCTTTTCATTATTCAAGCATCTCTACCTAAAATGTGTTTGCCAAATGAAAATCTAGATCTTTTAAATCTTTCCATCCAAGCAGGAACTCATTCAAATCAACACCACCACGGAAATAGACTCAACTTTCTTCCTAAAGAGTCTAAAATAATTCAGGTGCATCTCATTTCTTCCAGATTGTTGATTGTGTCACTGTTACCCAACACCACATACATGTCTATGGACCTCCACATGCAGAAGCTTCCAGTCCTAATCTTCCATAATCTTGTCATGTAGACTGTTGATACCAAACATGAACTTCAAAGCCATTTATCATTTGAGGTCTTAAGTTATAATTAACAGTTATTGAAGTCGCAGTCCTCAATTAGTACAACTGAATATCCCTTTTGACCTAGAATGGGACTAGGCCTGAATGGCAAGAAATAATATCCTTCTATGAAAACTGAAGATTGTAAGAGACTCTAATTAGGTACTCTTTTTTGATAAGGACAAATTCCTATGACAAAACTTTCTTTCTAGGTGATGGTACCATTAGAGTTGATTGTATCCAGTTAGTATCGCAATTCTACTAAACGAATCATGCATCTACCAGCTATAGATGACGCTCGGATCCTGTGTGATGCATAGATCATTCTCACACTACAATTTTTCAGCCATGCAAAACCCCTTGTTTTCATCCTTAGAAACAAGGTCTAAATTCCACTTCAAAATCCTACGAAACTTTAGTCAGATGATGTTCCATAAACCTACCCTGGCCACAAAGTATTTAGGTGGTTACAAACACGAGCAAAGTTTCAAGTATTGATCACATCACAACATTTGAAACACATAAATCGCAGTGCCTTACAAATAATATGCCGGAAACATTTTCAGTTATGCAAACTAACAATAGCTAATGCATGTTTCTTTTGATTATACACCCAGATGCATGAAGTTGAAGGGCATGCCAAAGTTTGAAAATAGGGAACCTCCCTGGGGGGTGGGATAACAGAAGAATTGAGGAAGTTGGTACTACAAGAAAAATCAGACAAAGTTCTAATGAGACTGGCCTATTAATATACAGTAAGACATGCAACTCTTCAGTATCTATCCCTGTACACAACAATTCTGTGAGACCAGGTATTGTTGGTGAGCTTAAGTGTCACTCATGCATCAAGTTATCACTTATTCTAACGAAACAACTTCGTAGCATTTATCACTCATGTTATGGGGGGAAAAGATAAATAACCGGTTACTTAGTGATTAGTTCATAAAGGAATGGGCTTCTATTGTGAGCACAAAGTGAAGTATGATCGGATAGCAAAACTTATCAAAGACATACCTTTAGATGTGCATTGTGCCTCTTACCCTCGTGCCATCTCCGGATAGTCCCATCATTCAGGGGACGAAACCTGTCCTTGAAGGAACTGAAATGACATAGATTGAAGAAGAACAAAAAAAGGAAGCCATTCAACATCCTCAGCAAATGAGACACCCTACGTTTCAAGTTACTGCTTCCGGACTTACGAGTAACCCTTCATTTTAATCTTCTTGACTTTGGAGGTGACGGGTGTCATGGGCTTCCTCCTCTTCTTTCGCTCCCTCGATGAAACACCTCGGACACCCACCAACTAAATTCAAAATAAAAAATTTCAACTTTCAATTAGTATACGAGGAAGATTCCACTCGACAGCTCAATCCAAATTCTCGCCCAAATGAGTATTCAAACAGTGCACTTCTTTCCGGCATTTTGTCAGTCACCATATGTGCAATTCAGAATGACCAAATGGGAGCAAGACCTTCAGAAGCTTACAGAGAAAGGCGAGGAGACAGATTGAGACGGCAACTTAGGTGAAGATTTTGACGCATTGAGGAGTTGCCCACAGAGACTCCAAGCAGTAGAAGCAGCGGCGGAATGGAGTGGTTGGCCTTTACATGAAATCAATGGAGAAGGGGGGAGAATAAGGCCACGGGAAGAAGAGGGTAGGAAGAGTTGAGATCGATTAGATGATTGAGCCGCTAAAGAGCGGAGCTTGGTGCAGATTCTCAGCATCGTCTTTGCCCTTCGATCAGCTTCCCTGGCCTCCAATGGCTGCCTCGCCCTCTTCAATTCTTCGTCTTTCGGGAGAATAGTAAGGAGGTTTTTTTTTTTGTTGATTGGCGGAGCTTACTATTGGGCCTCACAAGAACCCAAAACGTGAAAGGGCCAAAAATACATTTATTCAGTTGGGCTTTCTGTTCCGCCTCGTTTCGGATCTGCTTCTGAGGCCGTTTTACTGATTTTTTCCCCAATTCGACATTCCTCCTCCGCTGCTGTCCGCTCCGCCGTTCCCGCTTCCTCCACCGCCGCTGGTCCATCGGCAGCCGCAGTACGCTTTTCGCATCAACGTCTTCCTCCAACATTCTCTTCACTCGTTGACAAGGGTTCGAGATTTTGCATAGGCTTGAAGGTTATTGCTTGGCTTTGGAATGTTAAAGACTCCAGCTTTCCCATGCCATGTATGTTAAAGACTCCACCTTTCCCTCTTCTCTCATTCAACCTGATATTCGCTCGAGTTTCATTGATAATGCAATTAATAGTAAATTCTTCTAGGCACTGAAAATCCCCATTGGCAAGGCGAAAGGTTTTAGACACAGTTTGAAGTGCAGAGCATCAATGGCGGAGGAGCTAAATATCACCCTGCCGGATGACTGGCATCTCCACCTTCGCGACGGTGACCTTCTTCAAGCTGTCGCACCCCACAGGTGAGAATGAAGCTTAATGCGGCTGCTGATGCTGTTGCAACAACTAATTGAATAGTATGGTCACTAGATGGAAGAACAAGAGTGCCTGATAGTCAGGGAACTAATTTGGTTATGGGTATCTGAACTTTGTAGCTCAAGCCATTTTGGAAGGGCGATTGTGATGCCAAATTTGAAGCCTCCCATTACCACCACTGCTGCAGCCGTTGCTTACAAAGATTCTATTATGAAAGCACTGCCTGCTGGTAGTAACTTTTCACCTCTTATGACACTTTATTTGACGGATAAGACAAGTCCTGAGGAGATCAAGCTTGCAAGTAAGTCCAAGTTCTTGACTATCTCATTTGAAATGTCTATTTGTTATTCCACATTTGGTGAGCAATGTGTGTTCTTTGTTTCTTTCCTTCAATATCACTTTGAAACTGCGAAGCCAATTGTATTCTTAGAATATTTTATTGATATTGAACTCTAGATTGTATGGTTCCACTTTTGACTTTGTAGTTTAATGTCATTGCAATTTGATATCCTTCCACATGCCACCCATTTGAATGATCTATGAATTTCGCACTGATCAATAATCGCAGATGTTAATTCCGCTTGAATTGGGAGACTTGTGGATCGTCGTCTAATGATTATTCTGATTCTGTTGATAGGAAGAAGTGAGGTTGTTTATGGTGTGAAGTTGTATCCTGCTGGTGCTACCACTAATTCCCAAGATGGGGTTACTGATCTTTTTGGGAAATGCCTTGCTGTGCTGGAGGAGATGGTTGAGCAGAATATGCCTTTACTGGTATTCTCGCACTTCCACCATGTTCGACTGGCTGATTATGCTTTGGTGTTTTCTTTTGTGGAAAGTGTTTTGGTGTTTCTAGGAGGGTACTGCTTCATTCTGTTTCTTCTTGAATATGCTTCATTATTGACCCAATGGTGGGTTCTTTAGTAAGTTGGAACGATATATTTGTTAATGAAAGAGAGCCATCTTATGGATGTTAAAGCCAGAAAATCATTTTGATCTAATTGAAAGCCGGTCTCATTTCTTCTTGCCCAGAAAGGATGTATTAAATCGTCAGGTGCAGACAGAGTGTATTGTATAGGGTATAGACTATAGAGCGCCTTTCTTCAAACCAAAAGAGACCTTTAGAGCTTCAATTGATATAAGATATAGCTCACATAGCTGTAGAATGTTTTCACTTGCATAAACCTGTGCTGGTGGAATGTCAAATCATTCTCAAGACCCAGATTTTCGCAGCAGCTTGGACTAAGCTCAACTTTCTGTTTTCATTTCTTGTTCTTTCTTCAGGTCCATGGGGAGGTCACAGATCCGAAAATCGATGTTTTTGATCGTGAAAAGGTCTTTATCGAAACTATATTACAACCTCTAATCAATAGGCTTCCAAAGCTAAAGATTGTCATGGAGCATATCACAACCAAGGATGCTGTTAATTTCGTTGAATCCTGTAGTGAAGGTATGCTGACTATGCTTAGAAGACTTTTCGATTTTCTGTTAAGTGTTCTTGCTTTCAGTTACTTCGTCATGGAAATTTTGATAAATGCGTTCCCTGGTTCTTTTAACTTGTAGGATTGGTTGCAGCAACTGTCACTCCTCAGCACCTTTTACTAAATAGGAATGCTATCTTCCAAGGAGGATTGCGGCCACATAATTACTGCCTTCCAGTTCTCAAAAGAGAAACCCATCGTATGTGTTATGAAGCTATATTTACTGTGGTTGTGTTTGTTTAAGTTTTTTCCTAAAAAATGCGTAACGTTCTTTTTGCTTGAGTTTTTGTAGAAGTAAAAAAAAAAGTAATTGACGGGTTGGATAATAGTTTGCTTAATAATAAAGAAATAAGTGAATTTTGAGAAATGATTATTATGAGTAAAACATGGAGAATCGTTCTTGTTTCAGAGAGACAAAGTTGTATAGAAACTTATTAGTGCGACAAATTTAGCTACTAATTTGTCAACCTTTGAATAGTTGTTTCGGAAGTTAGACTGAACAAATATTGTTTGTTTTAAGAACTTTTGTAAAGGTCTACCCCATAGTAGAGTTAGGACTGTCTCAGTTTCAAAGATGGAGATAAAGGATATGTTCATTGGCTTGTTGGTTGGTCTTTGCATAAAAGCAGCAGTTGGGTTTGCATAGGTCTTGTATATACAAGCAAATCCCCCGAGACGATATGTAATGTGTGTTTATTCCTGCTGTTGCATTCCAGGACAGGCAATTGTTTCTGCTGTGACTGGTGGAAGTAAAAGATTTTTCCTTGGAACCGATAGTGCACCTCATGAGAAGCAAAGCAAAGAGTCTTCTTGCGGATGCGCTGGCATTTACAATGCCCCTGTTGCCCTCTCGGCATACACCAAGGTTTTCGAAGAGGTGATTTCTCTTTCCTATGTCACTAACTTAGGGCTACTAAAACAGATTTCGGTTTCTCTGGTTACCGGTTAAAACGCCATAACTGTTATTCTTGTCGTTGTCGGTTATAAACCAGTTATCAAATGATTGGTTTTCTTTTTTCGTGTGGTTAAACCGAAAAAACTGTTACAAACCTAGAAACAAGGCTCACATATTTAAGGTTCGGTTTTTGGTAAAATCGTTTTGGTTTCAGTTATTCAACAGTTGTCCCTATCAGTTTTGGTCAACCATTAACACTAAAAGATTTGTTTTCTGCTACATGTAATAGGGGCATACCGATTTACGGTTTACTGGTTTAGTGACCGGTTTAAGCCCGCTGTCTGTATTACTATTAAGCGTTACAAGAATGTATTACCATCACTTCAATGGTTTCCTATTGGGCATTCTTTTAGGCTGGAGCACTTGACAAACTAGAGGCATTTACCAGCTTCAACGGGCCAGACTTCTACGGCCTCCCGAGAAACACACCAAGAGTCAAGCTCACCAAGACTCCATGGAAGGTACCAGAGTCTTTCTCATTCTCATTTGGAGAGATTGTGCCCATGTTTGCTGGTGAAACGCTGGATTGGCAACCGTCGCTCGTCTGATCGATCGATTGAATATCCTCCTCCGTCTGCTGATCAGTTCTGGTCACTTCAAAACTGTGCAAGTTTTGAACGAATGTCCTGTTTAACTTTAAAATCAAATGCTTGTAGGCAGCAAATGGTGAAGTTTTACATGCACCTGAAGTCCTGACTCCTGAATGAATACTCAGGGTGGGATAGAGGTAAGCATATACTACAGTAAGTGGCTGTCAACCTGTAGAAGTAATTGTGTAGAGTTTTGTGGTTGGCCCACGCATATCGGACTTGCAACCTTCAGGTCCAGCCTCTGCCTTGATTGCTGTTGAAAGTTTTTTCTTCAATGATCCTTCTCTGTAGTTTTGAGTGAGATAATGTTCACTACTACGCATATCAAAGCGATTGTACATTCGACACTAGTGCAATAACGAGAAGGGATAGTGGTAGTGTAATTCTCAAACCACTAGTATGTCAGCCGATACATTTGAGTTCAATCGGTATTGGGGAAGAGGAAAAAAAAACAATTGAAAGACCATCTATATGAAGCAATAGTCAAAACTAGTAAAGCATGGTCAAATTCGCGAAATTTAATGGTCGAACCGGAAAGATCAGTTTTCAATCGCTAGTGCAATAACGAGAAGGGATAGCGGTAGTGTAATTCTCAAACCACTAGTATGTCAGCCGATACATTTGAGTTCAATCGGTATTGGGGAAGAGGAAAAAAAAATCAATTGAAAGACCATCTATATGAAGCAATAGTCAAAACTAGTAAAGCATGGTCAAATTCGCGAAATTTAATGGTCGAACCGGAAAGATCAGTTTTCAATCGCTACGCAAATAATGTCTTTTGGGTAGAGGTAGTCGACAAAAAGAAAGAAATTTGTTGGGTTCAAGTATGAACAATTAGATTTTGATATTTAATGTTGGATTCAAGTAAAAATGTATGGATGTTAACATTAAATGTTGCATTGAAATATCAAATATGATCATTTGTCCTTTATTTGTAATATGATATTTTATTTATATATGGATGTTTTCTATTCATCATACTTGTTCAAGCAAAGCTATTCTAGCGGTCGAAATAGGTAGGGATTCTAGTTTTCACCTCATCTACTCAACATGTATAACTTGTTTGGGTGAGTACGTAAATAGGACCGATCGGGCATAGGTCCCCGTTTCGACGGGATCCACCCCCATTTTCAACCCTTTTTTTATAAATTATGTGTAATTTTTATAAGATTTTATTTAAAATTTTATTTGAAAATGAAGCAATACACCATCAACCCTAAATTAAAGGATTTGTCCATAGTTAAGGTGGTAGGGGATATAGTGATGGCAATTTCAACCCGCCCCGCGGTTATTACCCGACATGACCTGCGATGGGGCGGGGCATGGGTATCTACTTCTGACCCGCCCTGCCCCGCCCTGTTCTAGACTCATTTTATCTCAATTTCTTACAATATCTATACATATTTCTCCTATTTGACTTTTCTTCAACTAGTTAGAGTCGATCTTTCAACTTGTTAGGCTCAATTATCTATTTTATTATCAATATTTTTCATTCTTAAAGTGTTTTTCCCTACGTTTTATTGTAAAAAGTAAAATTTACTTGTAATTTTTTTTTGAACAACATGTAAGAGTGGGTCGACTCGCCCCGCGCGGGTTTTACTCGCCCCGACCCGTAGTAGCGTGGGACGGGATATGGGAATTGAGGTATCCGCCCGTCCCGCCCCATTGCCATCACTAGGGGGATAAAAATGGTGGGACACCCAACAACAACATCAACATCAACATCAACGTCGGAGATGAGATGAGCGAGTGAGCTAAGTTTTGTTGTTTTATACATAAGTTGAATCGGATACGGAGAGGTTGGGTGTGGGATGGGGCGGCACCAGATCCAAGAAAGCTTCTCCCCTTCTTGTTCTTTCTTTCTTCCATAACATCAATGGTGTGACATTCATCTGCTTTCGTACCAAGTCTATCATGCATCGATTCGTAATATTAACACGGATTTCCCTCTCTCTCTCTCTCTCTCTCTCTCTCTCTCTCTCTCTCTCTCTCTCTCTCTGTTTTTTTCTTTCACCTTCGGGCCCTCTTGTTCCTTTTGGATCCATCTGATCATGTGATGCCAAACGTTTGATGTCTTTGGAACCCAACAATGAATGACCAAACCCCATAACGGTGCTGTCGTTTTGCTTTGCCACAGACAAAGCAAAGCAAGAGAATGAAGAAAACCAGAGAGAGAGAGAGAGAGATTCCTTGAGGGGGCAGGAAAGCCATACGTTATGGAAACCCTATCTCTAAAACGGGACCCGTTTTTGTTTTTGCGTTGCCTCGATCCCCCGTTATTTTGAACTGCCCATCCACCAAGTTAATGAGACTTTGCTTATTGGCTCAGTTTGGCCCTGCGATAGCTTTTGCAGAAGTAGTTTCTGGCTTGAGCTTTTTTTTTTTTTTGTGAAAAACAGAGCGCAGGGGGCGCTCTAACCCTTATTCATTAATGATACGAGGCGTTTGGACGCCAATAGAGTCAAACAGGAGCCAGAATCTTAAGCTCGGTCCTGGGTTATCAAAAACATGTAACCCCGGATTCAACGAATGCCCAACATCAGCCATAAAATCAGCAACATAATTTCCTTCTCGATAGACATGTTCCATCGTAGTCTCCCAGTCCCGGTTGAGCAACTCTCTTATAGCATTCGCCAACGTGCGGTGAGGGTGGCTGTCCAGGTCCGACTGGACGATAGCTAACGCCGTCCTCAAATCGATCTGAAGGCGCACTTTCCGGACTCCCATCTCCCAAGCTATATGCACTCCATGATAAATCTCAGCCAACTCCGCGTGTGTGATTGAATGATCCCCCAAATTGTTTGAGAAAGCTCTCATGAATCTGCCAGAGCTGTCACGAATCACTCCACCTGCCATGGCGCTGCCCGTGGATGATGTTACAGAACCATCTGTATTTAAAGCAGTCCAGCCAGGGGGCGGCCTTTCCCAACCAATCATGCCTGTGCGCTTCTCCCGTCCATCGCACACGACCTGCTGCATTTTGCCGAAAGCCAAGTGACATTGCTGCTTCATTTCAACCGCTTGACGAGCCAGCATCCAGGTCGACGCCAACACTTTCTCAAATACCCAACCATTGCGGTTCTTCCATAACTTCCAGCAAAGAATAACAAAGAGGGATGCATCAATAACCTTACTCCGACCCGCCAGGTAGTAATGGATCCACTTGGTACTGTCTTCCTCAAAAAAATTCCGATCAGGCTCGTCTTCAAGGACTTCTGACCAAACTGCTCAGGCGTAGGGGCAATCTCGAATTACATGCATCGTTGTCTCCGGGCCGTTTCCACATACCGGGCAAGCATCCGTCTGCGATAAGTGTCGCCTGCATCTCTCACCATTAGTAAGCAACATACTGTGAAGCACCAGCCAGAAGAAAGTTCGAGTTCTTTGGGGGCCCTCAATACACCAAGCTCGTCGCCAAACAGGATGGGGTTGGCCGACCTCCTCCTCCGCTCTCAAGAGCTCGTAGGCAGACTTAATGGTGAAGAGGCCCGTGGATGACAATCGCCAGGTTGGGACGTCAGGGTCTCTCTCTGTAGGGACCGAGGGTAACATCAATTGCATAACTAGCTCTTCGGGGAGGAAAGCTCGCACATACTGCAAATTTCACTCTCCATTTAGTACCAGATCAGCGATAGTGAGCTTCTGTCTCCCTCGGGTACTTGCTTCTCACAACTCTCACCCATAAAGAATCAGCTTCCGTCATGAGCCGCTAGGAAATTTTCATCATGAAAGCCTCATTCATATGTGTTGTGTTTCGCATGCCCAGTCCACCCTCATCTTTCGGCTTACATATTGTCTCCCAGTCCACGAGATGAATATTACGCCCTTGCTCAGAACTCCCCCAGATAAACCCTCTGATCTTCCTGTCAATGTAATCCCGTACAGAGGCAGGGAGAAAGGAGGTCTGCATAGTATAGGCTGAGAGCGATGACAGGACTGACTATGCTAAGGTGATCCTCCTTGCCAAAGACAACATTTTTACTTTCCATCTTGTCAACCTTGCATCTATACGGTCTAAAAGCTCCATGAAAGTTGCCTTGGACACCCTGTCATGGATCACAAGAACTCCCAAATATCCACCCAGGTTCTTCATCTCAGGGATGTTCAACGCATTGCTTATTGCTGTCCTAAAGCCGCCCCAAAGTCCGCCAAACATTGCAGGATTACCTGGACCTGGTTCGGGGAAGCTTCACTGAAAAGTATAAGGTCGTCATCAAAGAATAAATGTGAAAGGGCTGGTCCGCGACTCGACACTCTCACTGGCTTCCAATCCCCTCTCTCCACTGCCGCCGAAATGAGATGGCCAAGTCGTTCCATACATAGTGTGTAGATATACGGAGAAAGAGGGCAACCTTGGCGTAATCCTCGAGATGGTTCAAATGGCTCTGTCAATCCACCATTCCACTGAATCTGCATTGTCGTTGTGGAGATACAGCTCATGGTTATATCGATGAAACTCTGGGGCGCGCCTGCTGCCTGCAGTGTGTCACGAACAAAGCCCCACTTGATCCTGTCATACGCCTTAGCCAGATCAATTTTAAGGACCATCCATCCCGTCTTACCCTTCTTAGCCCTCATCGAATGTACCACCTCCTGCAAAATGCATACATTATCCGTTATATGACGTCCGGGAACAGAACTTGTATGAGTTTCATGCACCAGCCGAGGCATGATTGGCTTGATCCTCTCTGCCAAGCACTTAGTGATCATCTTGTACGTAACATTGCAGAGACTGATTGGCCGGAACTGATCGATTGTGGAAGGTTTTGCAACCTTCGGGATGAGAACCACAATCATTTCATTCAGCTCCTTCACCCTCGAAGGCTTAGTCCAGCAAGACTGAATAAACTCCAGGACCGCAGGACCCACCAACTCCCACTTCTACTGATAAAACAACGGGTTAAGTCCGTCTTTGCCTGGCGCCTTAAGTGCACCCATTGCCCTCACCGCACCTTGTAGCTCCTCCATCGAGACCTATCGTGATAGCGGGTCCCACAATTCGAGAGGAACTTCATCAAAAGAAGCCTGAAATACACTAAGAGCCTCGTTATCATCAGTATATAATTCCTCGTAAAATTGCCTTGCCGTATCCATTAAAGAAGTCTAATCCGTCACCCATTTCCCATCATTGTCTTTTAAAGCAGACACTCTATTTCTCCGTAGGCGGCTCATAGTTCTTGAGTGAAAATACTTAGTATTTCTATCCCCTTACACAATCCAAGTAAGCCGAGATTTTTTATACCAAAGTAATTCTTCCTGTATAAGAATTTCTTCTAGCTCTGTTCGTGCTTGGCCAAGTCTCGGGTCTTCGGAATCACCCCCACCCTGCGACTCCAGCCTCTCTATCCGTCGCAGAATAGCATTTTTATTTTTCAAAATGTTCCTAAATACATTGCGATTCCAGGTGGTTGCTTCCGCCGTAAACTCTGCTATAGTGCTAAGCAGATTCGTTCCCCGCTCCCAGGCACTAGTAACCATATCGTCAAAACCATCATGTACCAACCACACCGCCAAGAATTTGAAAGGTTTCGGCCCAGCTGGTTGGAACATGGGATTCAAAGTAGCAAGAATGGGGCGATGGTCGCTTCTCATTCAAGGAAGATGACTAATAACTGCATCCGGGAACATGTCATTCCAAGCTGCATTTACCAAAGCCCTGTCAAGTCTCTCTTTAAGTCCCGTCCGGAACCACATATATGGTGGAACCGTGAACCCCAGATCGATCAACCCCATCCAAGACACAATCCTAAAAGTCACGTGCCCACGCAGCATCGAAGGGCGCACCGCCCAATTTATCATTTGGCTGGAGTATGGAGTTGAAGTCTCCCGCCAATATCCAAGGCTCTGTTGCCTCATCCGCGATCGTACGAATAGCCTCCCACAGTTCCCAACGCTGGATGAGCGTTGGGTTAGCATAGATTGTCGTTAGCAGCCATTGCTCCTGACCGCTTTGAACCCTAGCGTGGAGGAACTGGTCAGCTCTGTCAATCTTAGTGATCGTTGCTACCCCGGAATCCTAGAGTAGCCATATGCCACCCGACTTGCCCACTGCCTCGACAACAAGGTGTTTATCAAACCCCAGGTCCCGGATAACCTCTTCCGCTCTGTTCCCACTGATTTTTGGTTGCACCAGTATGACAATGTTAGGTCGGTACCGCCGATACTCCCTGAACACTCGCAAGAAGCGTTTACTCCCTGCCACCCTACAATTCCATGTGAAAATTTTAATCATTGATAGCACAGGAAAGTAGGATACCGCGACATTCACTTGGAATCTCAGAGAAGTTGCCTCATCACTGAGTCCCCCTCTCGGCTTTCCATTTACATCTCTTAATGCTTTCTCCTTTTGTACATCCGTCCCAGAAGAAATGTCCCCTTTCGAGAAATCCATAACTCTAGGATCTGGTGGCTTTTCTTGGATATTGCCAACTTTCTCTTTGTTAGGCCTTCCGACGTCCCTTTGTCCTATATCCATGCACATAGCTTGATTATCCTAGCTAAGTAGGGATGTGTCTCCGGCAAGTGTAATCACATTTTGCCCAAGCAAACTTGGTCGGGGAATAGGTCGGGTATTCGAGGATGCAATGCCAACAATCGTAATAGCATCCTTTGGTTTATTAGACTTGGGTGTCTCATGGTGGATCAGATGCGCATTTTCCTTTTCTTTCCCCCTATCATTAAATTTCTCCTTATTCTTGCCCCGCTCACCAGCAATAGAAGCATGTCGTATCTGGGGTGATGCACCCTCACCACTCCCTGTTTCCTCCACTTCAAGTACATTAAACCGAGAGCCATTCTGTCTATCCATCCCTCGTGCCTGTTCTTTTCGCTTATCTAAGCTTCCCCTTTCCACCTCTGAGTTCGACCTACGAGGTCTTGGTTTTTTCTTAGCGATCATCCACTCCCCATATACTGGCTCTATTTTCCTAGGTTCGGACCTGGTAGGGGCAGCAACTGGTTCCTCCATCTCCATTTCCTCAGTCCGCACCGTGGATGAACAACAAGCGCGCTCATAGTACGTACCACACTGCAAACATATTTTGTCAAGCCCCTCATATTGGATAAAGTATTTCTTCCCATGGATAGTAAACTGGGATAGCAGGGGTCGAGTTAAGTCAACTTGAACACAGACTCGGGCAAAATCGCTGCGAGCTCCCGACACTGTTGCATGGTCCACCCCTCAGAGGTTTCCCTATGCGTTCCCCAATCCTCATCACTGCCACCGGATGGAAATAATGAATCGGCAGCTCCAACAGTCTGGCCCAAACAAGGTTCGTCGTGATCTCATGTTCATGTGGGTTAATATCCTTCGTCCATGGGTGTACAGTCAAGTTATTATCTCCCACTAGCCACGGTCCACCTGTCATTGCTCTCTCATAATCTATCCCACTCGTAAACCGAATAAGGAAGTAACCGTTTCTAACCGACATAACTTGAATTGATCCCGCCTTCTCCCATATTCCATGCAAACGCTTCAGCATCATCGTGTATGATACTGTTCGCCCCAGCACTTTTACCACAAGGGTCGATCTCCATTGGCGGCAGAAAAGTCTTTCTTCCGCAGCGGTATAATGTATGGTCGGGCACTTAGGATCTTCATTCCCGTCGAAGTCTTGCTCTAAGCCATCCTCACGTATGTCCGCCATGACATCCTCGAAACCCGAATCCGCAATATACCACATCTCAGACCGAACCACCTCACTGAAGAGACGTCTCACCGCCCCTTTCCCATCCCCCCATGCCGGGGTTTTGGTAGCTAGTTGGGGTGTCGTTTGTTGCCTAATATCGTCATTCCTCTCCGCCGATCCCATTGCCTTACTAGAATCACCCGGGTTGGGCACAGTTTGTTTCGCCCTTTTTTTGGACTGTTGCGCCTCACGCTCGCCCTTAGTGTTTGGCGAGGAGGACTTGGTCGGGGGTCTCCTCTAGCCTGTCAATGAGTCGTCAAGCATAGTAACATCATGGTCGCCCCCGGCCAGCGGTGTGGGCACCGGCGGCATGGAGCGCGAGAGCGGAAACCCTAACGCTCGCAAAGAATTATTTTTTCCGCCGCTTCGCAAACTTCGGAGCTAGACTTCCCCAGGACTGGCTTGAGCTTTTATAAATGTATTTTTCAAAAAAAGCAGTTGAGTATTTGGTTGAAAAAATGACTATAAATGAGATATAATTTAAACTATGAATAATAATTCTAAACAATAATATGTAAATAAAATGGATCTTGTTAGACTTCTTTTATATTTAATAATATGACCTTATACTTATATTTTATTTTTAAAATGATATAAATGAAATAAAATTATATTTTTTGAGATAAAATTAAAATATGATAAGGATAATCTTGTATTTTCAATGCGGTTGGTGGGAGAGAGATTCGTTGAGTGGCAGGGCTATTGATTATTGAATGCGTACGTAGCTATATGGCCAGTACTAGAGGTTGGAGAAGAGATGATTGGTCACTTTTCAATGGGTTTGTTGTTTACTAGTTCTATCACCGTCAAACATATAGCAACACAAATTACCGTTTACGTACTTCTTCATTCACCACTAAAGAGGAAAAAGATTCCATTTTTAATTGATGGAATACTAAAAAGACTCGAAGAAATTACTCAATTTTTCTGGTTCGTGACATTAAAAGTGATTGAATTTACCCATGAAGGTTGAAGGCCGTTAATTAGACTTGTCGGTTCGGATTGGTTAACCAAATTGAAAACCATTTAAAAATTAAAACTCAAATTTTTGTTGATTTCCAAAAATCAAAATCGATCCCGTTAATGGGGTGGTTTCGATTAGAACAAACCGAAAACAAAAAATTCTGGTACACCCAATCAAAACCGAACCTTCTGCACCTCTCACCTAATGGTTTTGGTTTTTTATCGAGTTTTCGATTTAATCGAAAATCGATAAAGTTCAAACCAATTTGGAATAATAAAAAATCAAATTCAATAGTGCCCTTGTACGTTCGACTTCGGTTAAAACCGAAAAAATCAAAACTGATATCCCAGTCCTACCACTAATTGCCTAACCAAGTTCACCATTATACAACAGTAGTGTATCCGCGTGTACTACCACCTTGTAATTTGTCTCATGCTCATCATCCTGTTTTTGTTATAAACTTACAACTACTCTATATATCTTAGAAGTTAGATATTTCCCTTCATGGAGAGCACGCGAGAGACCCATAATTATCAGAAGCTAAAGGTAGAACCTAACTAAATGAATGAATGGAGAAACAAGACCAGGTTATAGTTAGCCAAAGTCTAAACAAAACACACACCCGGAGAAATCATCGGATTCGATGAATGAAATAGTATCTCTTTTACATCGAAAGCCTGTCATTCTTTATTTTTTTCTCTCTCTCTTCCGAGTGGGTGTGTGATATTTTCCTTATCAATTTTAGAAACATTCCAAAAAGTCAAGTAGTTATACTCTACATAAACTCCTCTACGGAATTAGTAATAAGATGGATCCATTTTTACTTTGGTTTTTTTTCCGGACCTCTTGTATTGAGTTTAAGTTGTTTAACATTACCAAGGTACAATAATGGAAAGCAGAATGTTTTTCAGAACATATAGATACAGTCAAAGCCATATCCAATTTTTGTGCAGGCAGATTGGCCATCCTCCACATTGCCGCCACCACAAGGCTATCCTCAAACTAAAAGAAGAAAGATGGAGAAGGGGGGTAAAAAGTAAAAACTGAAAGGATAAAGAAGATTGGCAGTTCGATTGATGATTAAAGATAATGTCGTCCTACTGTTTTACAAATTGGGAATTTGGAAAATTGAAAAAAGAACGAAAACAAGTACTGTCAATGTCTATGGACAAACCATCAATATAAATGCATGTATCGATAATATAAATGTATTGTAATGAATCACCATAATATAAATGCATGTATTGATACAATGGATGTATTTTAACAATACATTGTTTGATTGTTGAGATTCTACTTTATTCATTGATTTACATAAAGTTACTTTAATGGGAAAATGTCATATTTACACTCAACTTTTTAGTATAAGACAAAAACTATTAGGAATATAAATAGAAACAAAAAGTTGACACAAATCTAAAAGCAACAATCACAACAATTTCAACTTTTAGTTGAGATTGTATAATGCATCATTTTTTGTGATTGTTGGTGGGACGTACCTAAAATAATGCATGCATTGTTTTACATTTTGGCACTTGCAAACATTGTATTGTGCACAATATATGTATTCAACAAACACAACTCTAACAATCACAACTTCCAAACGACTCCTAATAAAGTAAAATAAAGAGTGAAATTGAGGCAACAAAGAGATTAGGAGAGAACATGATGCTGCAGATGGAATGCGTTAGGGTGGCAACTAAAATTTTAGTTGCCATCGTGGCTACATCATTATCTGCTGTTCATTTTTCTTGTTTTTCTCTTTTTTAATCTTACGGTTAATTTTGTTTCAGGGTAGTTTTGGAAACAAAAAAAAGTTCACACCTGATTATTCTATATATTCTACCCAAACCCTAATTCTGCACTGCCCTTCCTCCAGCCAAACCCTACTTCATCGACGCCGACCGCCGACTACCGGTTGCCCGCACTCCATCCCACTCTCCTCCGCTGCCCTCTCTCCCCTCCACCCACCTCCCTTCGCCGGCCATTCCTCCCGATCCTCTCTCTCTTCCTATCCATTCTTCCTCTGTGGGAGACGGCTGAATTCCAACTCCCAACTCCACTGGTCCCAACCTGTGAGAGCTACTTCGCCAGATACTGTAAGCAGCACTCCGACGGGACGTGGGCGGTGGTCGACGTTTCCTTGGACGATCTACGGTCGAGCCCGGTGGGGGACCGGTGCCAGAGAAGGCCCTCCGGGGTCTTGATCCAAGAAATGCCCAACGGTTACTCCAAGGTGATCTCCGCAGGAGATCTCCCCTCTCCTGTATACCTAAAGGCTAAAACCCAATTCCTCTCTCTCTCTCTCTCTCTCTCTCTCTCTCTCTCTCTCCTTACTTCTGTTCTTCTTCAGCAAGACAAAAACGACGGTTGGGAAAAAGAAATATTTCTGGTTTTTTATTGGCATGTACTTTTTTGCATTGGTAGTGTTTTTCTCGTAATGGTAGTGTTTTTCGCATATTGATTATCATGTAATGGTATTGTTGTAATCTGCAATGGTAGTTGTTAATAAGTGGTAGTGGTAGTGTTTCGTGTAGGCTGCAGTGGTAGTTGTTAACGTTTTGGTATTGGTTTCTTGTTTTTTCTTCTGCAATGGTATTGATTTTTTGTGAAATGGTATAGATTTATATTGGTAGATTGTTTATATTGGTAGTTTTGGCGTAATGGTATAGATTTACTTCTGCAATGGTATTCATGTTTTTCAAAGTGGTAGTGGTTGTCTAATGGATTGGTAGTGATTTCTTTTTTTTTTTTTTTTTTTTTTTTTGCAGATAGATTGAGAAAAATAAGGAAGGGGATCTGGCTGGAGATTACGAAAGTGAGAGAAAGAGAGAGAATTGTAATTAATAGATTTATGTAATTACCTAAAATGAAATTTATTAAAAGAATTAATTAATACAATTTATTTTTTCATACCCAATTTACCTTTAGTAACACTCTAACTTTTCCCTGCTGCAGATTTAAGAGGGGAAAACATGTCACAATCACGTTGAGACAAGCTGAAAGCTAAGGCATGAGTTTAGCCTTCCTTTTTTGTTTTTGTGGTGAAACATGATGGTTGGTACTCTCAAACATTCATAGTTACATCCACATTAATGATGATCTACCAACTTAATGTAATAAATAACAATCTTCCTGCACGTTGTAAGTAATGTTTTTCGTTGATTGGTGGTAGGAATGGTAATGGCAAGTTGGGAGATACCCATACTTGTATTGTTGGCAGGTCAGGTCAGTTGGATAATTTATCATGGGGTGTGTAGATTGAGCAGGTCGAAGCATATGAATATGAAATTAAAGGAAAAATATTAATTGTTTATCATAAAAATTATAATATGACAAATATATTTAAATTATTTTAAAATTTGGGGTTCTCATCTATTTACAACTTATTATAGCTAAAATTTGATATAATAAAAAAATTACACGTAATTTAAGCAAAACGGGTTGAGAATAGGGGGTCGGGCGAATCGGGTCGATGAGTGATTGTAAGTAGGGATGGCAATTAACCTATGCCCACGGGTATCCGACCGCTCCCGACCCAGTCAACGCAGGGAATCTTCACATTGACCGGGTATGAGGCGGGTATGGGTAAAACCCGCAAAAAGTTTGATGTGTATGGGCGGGTATGGTTTTAGCCTCCCCGCCCCATACCCATACCCGCCCTACCAAAATATTTCTTCATATATGAAAAATATGTAAATAAATTTGTAACTTATCAATAATAGTGACTATAACTCAAGAAAAATATATAGTAGAAATGCAATTGAGTGGCCACCCAAATCAAAATTTAATTTCTTTCTCTCAATTTTTCCTTCACTCTTTCACTTTTTCCCCTTGTTAAGAAGATTATGTTAGTTAATTATTACTTAGTAGATGAATCAGAGTAGAGAATAATGATTTGTATTAAATTGTACTATACTCTGATATGGATTAATGGATGCTTTGAATCGTATTAAAAATGATTGTCTCTTTTTCGACTTCATGGTATAGTAGGTGCATTTAATGTTAAAATTGAAAATCTATATGTAAAATATTAGGTATTATAATGTTGGATGTACGGGGCAGGTATTACCCATGGGTACCCGAAACCCATGGGTATGGGGATGAGTTTGCAAAACCTTCCCCGCATGGGTATGAGGCGAGTATGAGTATAGATATTTGAATGCGAGAATAGAGATGATTTAGACAAACCCACCTCATTGCCATCCCTAATTATAAATGACAGAGCCTCATTATACCTTTAGAACCATATACCCTTCTCCAAATTACAAAACTTTCGACCTTCTTTTCCTCCACCAATTTACCATAAATATCGCTCCCTTTCATTGAAATTAAAGTACTTGGTTTTATGCTCTTTCACTTTCTAGCCTTTCTTTTAGTTAAAGGATTATCCAATCAGAAAAAAGAAGAGGGCCCCACAAAGGAAGGACGATTAAAAAGTAAAACCACAAAGTCAGCAATTTATTCTTCCTTTAACTAAATTGTGGAGATCAAGTAAAAAGCTCAAGACAGAGAAAAAATTTAGGTTATTGGTATAATATGCTTCTTTATTATGACGTTTTATCATACATGTCTCTTTATTATTTTTTACATCAAACATGTTCTTTTATTTTGGGGAAATTATCAAACATACTCTTCTTTTAGAATTTCCATTCAAAAACTGTTAACCACGACCGAACTTTGGTTTGAGCGACACAAATGTCTAAACTATCCATAATAATTTGACTTTATAAATTTCTTGGTTCCTTTGTATAGTTAAATAATTCAAATATTTTCACTTTGCGAGTCCCAAAGAAATAAAAATAGGGGACAAAACAAACATTTCGTCTCCCATTTGCTGATGTCGGGTTATCTAAATATCAGTTCAACCATGATTGACGATTTTTTCAATGGAAATTTTAATAAAAGTGCATGTTTGATAATTTTTCCAAAGTACAGGGGCATGTTTGGTGTAAAAAATATTAGAGGGGTATGTTTGATAAAACGACATAGTACAGGGCTATATTATACCTATAACAAAAAAAAATTATGAAAGGGTAAAAGATAATATACTAAGATTGTGAACCCATATTTGAGGTTATACAAGAAAATTTAGTGGTAAAATATTTTATACTAAAATTGTGGTTTGACTGTTCATACCACTTAAATCGTCTACTATTTGAGACCAGTATCCGGTATTTCCGATCCGACCTGACGGTAGGGTAGGGTTTCTAAAACATTGGATATGGTAGTGTGAATGGGGATATGGTTATGCCTCCTCAACCGCCAATTATACTACCATCTACGATTGGGCAATGAGTGGGTTATGTGAGTTTCGATCTCAAATCGACTCACCAGCTTATTAATGAGTTGACACAATCGTGACTCGCTATCCACCCATGTTCTTTTTATGGGTTGGGTTAAGTGGGTAGCAGCGGGTGCCATTGGGTTGTGGATTAACATACAAAAACAAGTCTCTAACTAGTCATTGAGTAAATTGTATATCATTTATAATACGTAACTCGTAAAATAAGAAGATTGTACCAATTTAGACACATCTCACTTTATCTCATGTACTTGTATCAAATCTTTCATTACTCTATCAACCAACTATATAGATATAAATAAGGCTTTTTTTTGAAAAAACTTAATACAAATAATTGTATGTAATTTGAATGAAAAAAATTTATTCAATTAATCGTTTATAATTTACATCTCAATATATAATATATATTAGACAACATGGTAACCCATTAAGTCCAAGGATATTCTTTATTTTCAGAAGGTAAGGGTTCTCAATATATAATAAATATTAGACAACATGGTAACCTATTAAGTCCAAGGATATTCTTTGTTTTAAGAAAGGTAAGGGTGCAGTATGGTTAGAAAATATCATGACCATTCGATTGCATAAAAAAACTACTTTGAGCCATGTTAAAAAGGAATGCGAGTTATTCTAGTGACTGCAACTCATTCATTACTCCCTCGAAAAAGTGCGAGTACAAGATTTATCGATCCATAATCAACTCACATAAATCAATCACTCACTACCATTCGAATTATATTACGGGTGGATTGATGTTAATCCGCCAATTAACCACCCCCACACTTTCCCACTACCACCATGCACCACAACCGTCCAATTAGAAGTCGAACCGTCGACGAGGCCAAGCAGAAAACATCAAACGTTCGCCATTCCCAAGTGGATTTCCCTTTTCTTTCTGTGCAAACAGAGCCTTTGAACAGCCAAAAGAGAGTAAAGGGCCAATAGCCCAAAATAATATAAATGGAAAATAAAAAAAGCTTCCTTCCTTGCTACTCGTAAAAAGCCGTACACTACGCAACAAATAATAATACTACTCTACAACTGTACAAGTTAGAACGGTAAATTTTGCAGATAAAAATCTTATGGGCATTTGGGGAGATAAATAAATAAAAAAGGAAATTCTAATAATAATAATAAATTAGGTTAACCAAAGAAGGCGGCAGCTGCAAAAGAGATCGGCGATCCAGAGAGAGAGGGAAGAGATACCTAATTTTTGGAACAATTGTGAATGAATAGTTAACAATTACGAGGCCGCTGCTGAGTAAGGCTGAGATCAGCAAACCACAGAAGAATTCCTTCTTCTTCTTCTTCTTCCTCTTCCTCTCTCATGGCTTTAATGGAATCCACTCGTAACGTCCTTCCAACGGCTTCTCGTTGGCAAAGTCGAAGTTGTACCTGACCACAGCAGCACCACCATCAGAAACCACAGCGACAAAGGAAAAAAAAATGGAAGAAAGAAATTTACCCAGGCAAATTCAAAATTTTCTCGCCCCCTCTTTTTTCCTCAGGAAACAAACAGTCGCGGAGAATTCAGAGGAGAAGTTATTATGCATGCATGAATTTTCGGTCCGGACTTACTTCTCATTCAATCGATTCAGTTCCTGGTTCCCGCCGCTCATACTGCTGAAGAACAATTCCAGCTCCGCTTCCGTCACCGCCATCCTCTGCCGGTCCGTCGTCGAATTCCGCACAGCCGCAGCGGACGATTCTTCCTCTCCCCCCTCCGCCGTGGAATTCCGCAGCTCTTGCCTCTCCATTGACTTGAGCTCTTCTCCTGTCGTCGTCGTCGTCCTGACTATCACCGTCGCCCGACTACTCGTCGTCTCTCTCCTGCGAGAAATTGAAAAACGGAAGGAAAGAAAAGAATTTGAGAGAAACGGACATCGTTGCTTGTAAAAGCCGGGGAGAAGGAGGGAATAAATATTAAAATGCCGCAACCGCGGAGGTTTTTGAATTCGAAATTAATCCCTGAGTATGAATGAATTTATACTTTATTATTTGGAATTTAAACTCAAAAGGAAACGGAAACTACAAACTAGAGAGTCCGACTTGGATAATAAAACTACTACAAACCTTTCTCTCCCGTCGCTGCTACTCATCGGCGATTCGATTTCAGCTTCCTCCTGCCAGACGAAAAAAACAAAAAGAATTGAAATTAGAGAAGTATACGAAACAAGGAAATCAAGATTCTGACAGAATTATGAAAACAAAAAACGGCGGGATTTTATTTCTGACCTCCAGATCTGAGAATTCAAACGCTCCCTCGCTCGATCCATTACTGGAGCAGCAGAAAGCGTCGGAGGAGCCGAGCCGATCAACTTTCTCCTCCTCTGCCGCATCCGCCGCCGTCGCGATAGGGCTTGAGGAGCGCTTCTCCATCTCTCCACTCCGGCGACCGTCCCCTGCTGCCGAGCTAGTTGTGGAGTAGTCTTCTCCTCCATCGCCGCGGTCGGGCATTTTCAACCTAGAAAATTCTTGCTGCTCGTCTTCATTTCTGGCTCCGGCGGCGCCGCGGTGGTTGACTTTCCTTCGCTTGGTGGGAGGAGGAGGAGGAGAAGAAGAAGGAGGAGGAGGAGGAGGGGAATTAGGCGTGGAAGAGGAAGAAGCCAAAGGGAAAGCGCGAGGTCTTGTCGTGAGGCCTACGCGAGCCATTAGCGCGAGAGAATGACTGACTGACCGACAGTGGGATGGCGTTTTGCTGCTTCTTCTCCTCCTTCTGCGGGAAGATATGGAAAGCTATGAGAGAAGGAACGGAAGTGAAGATAATGTGTGGGGACTGGGGAGGGGAGGAGAGGGACGGGGTCCGTTAACAGTGACGTGGAATCTGTAACGGGGAAATTGACGGCGCCGTTATGCAGATCGGGCGGGGCTGCCTGGGGGAAACCGTTCGGCTTTGGCTTTGCTCGGGAATGCGCCGATTTCGAAGCAAATGAGTGGAAGACACGTGGGGTACGCGCACGTTAGGAATGTCAATTTAATATATTTTAGTGAAGTAATGAACAGTGGGAAAGAGGGAGTAATGATTGATGCAGTGGGAGATGGTACAGAGAGGATGTTAAAATTACAGAGACAATGGTAATTGGTAAGAGTGAGGGAGAGAGAGTGTTTGGGTTTCATAATCGGCGTTGTTATTGTATTTTATAGTTCTGTTTGGCAACGAGAAAGTGCAAATTTAAGGAGGGGGCAAATTGAGGAATAAATAGTAGGGGGAGCAAATTAAATAGAGGTACAAATTGAGTTGTAAATGGTTGTTTGGGAGAAAAAATAGGAGGGTGTAAATGTTATATAAAAAATATAAAAATATATTATATTATATTTATAAACTAATTAAAAACATATAAAAATATTATTTCTTTTCTTTTTTACTTTCCTTCTCTCTCACGAAAAAAACTTTCTTCTCTCCCACCGTCTTTCTCTCTCTCTCCACTTTTTTCTCTGTTCTCTCCCCTTTCCTTCTTCTGTCCCGTTCTCCCCTTTCTCAAATCCCTCATCTCTTCACTAGATTCCATACCTAAAAATCAACCTCGTCATTCTGAAATCGCCGCCACATTTCGATCTTCTCGCACCAGGTTTGGTGGCTGGGCAGGTCGGAAGCAGATGGCGGTGGCGGGAGCAAGCTTCCTTCCTCCTCCATCAGCGACGACGAGAGACGACAAATCTGGGCAGGAACTCGTTGGCTAGATGCGCATATATCGGAACAACGAGCGAAGGTCTCAGGCTCGCCGGCTAGCTGCGCGGAGGTGGGAGCTCTGATTTGAAAAAAAACAGGGAAAAGAGATATGAATAGCGACGATTGGTCTTGGGCGTCGCCGTCGATTTTCCCACAAATTTGTCATCGTTTCTCAGTCCGGGAGATAGAAATAGAGAGAGACTGCTCACTCACCGTCAGCACACGCCGGAGACAAGGCCGAAAAAAATTAAAAAAAGAAGAAGAAGAATTAAAGTGTTCAATTTTTCTCTCTCCCCTTGCACCCCGATTTGGGGGGTTTGCTTGAACAGTAGATTTGCGCCTGGATTATTGCACCCCCCTACTATTCAAAACTTTGCCAAACGGGGGCAAACACATTGGGAGGAGAGTTACCCCTGCTTTTTTCCTCCCCCCTGCAATTACCCCTCTTTCCAAACGAAGCGATAGGGTTTAGGCAGGAGCACGGTGTTCGTCGACAGAAATGAATAGGGATGGCAACAAAATTCGAATCCATGGAATCTACCCGACTTAATTTGGTCAACGCGGATAAAATTCGCGTTGATGGGTTTTGGGTCGGGTTTGGGTTTAAATCTGTTCACTATTTATCGGGTTGGGTTTAGTTTGGGTTTAGATAAACCCGCCCCATGGGTACTGTTACGGAGAAGATTCTAGAGCATTCTAAAAGGATGTAGGTACATGCATGCATCTTGCAATTCATGCACCAATGTACATACACCCCCCCTTTCCTATCTTTTATTCATGCACCTATTTATTATGATTCATGTATGAGTGCTTATGCATTCACCTTATTTATTACATTCATGTATGAGGCTAGTTCATGTATGGGGGGACTTCTAGGTTCGTTCATTTATGACGGCCATGTACATTGTACTTAGTGGAGAGGATGCCTATATAAGGAGCCCTCTCCATCATTTTTCATTCATCCAGAAATAAGAGAGTTTCCATCTCTAGAGCTTTTCTCCCAACTTGTGAGTTTGAGTGAATACGAGCAAGGCTGACTTAGCGCTCTAACGAGACTTGAGTGCTAAGTGCCGCACGGCCAAGAGTTGGTCCGTGACAAGTGGTATCAGAGCCAAGGTCGTAGCTCAGCAAGTGAGAAAGAACCTCGAGGAGATGGCTGGATCCGGAAGCGAAGTTCACAACAATGATGAACAACGCGGTCGTGAGGAGAAGAAGGATCCAAACAACAAGAAGAATCGTGATAGATCAACTCGAGAGCCTTTGGTGGCACTCGAGGAGAGGCTCAAAAGAGCGGAGACGAAGATTGCGAAGCATACAACCTTGTTCGAGGACATGGAGTCGAAATTCGATCAAGTCAGCAGAGAGGTGCAGACTTCGAAGGACGACATGCAAGGCATGGGCACTCGAATGTCAGGCTTGGAGGTGGGGTTAGAAGCTTTCAGAAACGAGTTTGTGACCATCATCACCAACGCCATCGACTCCTTGAGGGAGACTGTTCGAGGCCAGGTGGACGAAGTGAGGGAAGAATTTGACGAGCTTCGAGGAGAGCTCAATCTCGTCAAACGAGCCGTGGCTAACGGACCTGCTGCGACTCAATCTACTCCACGAGTTGATGTTCCAAGGCCAAAGAACTTCGGTGGGTCGAGGAACGCGAGGGAATTAGAGAATTTCCTATGGAGCCTAGAGCAATATTTCAAGGCCTCGGGCATCGATGACAATGACGTCATGCGCACCGCCTCCCTTTACTTGGTCGACACGGCCTTGGTGTGGTGGAGAAGGAGGCAAGGTGATATAGAGAGAGGCACATGTGTGATCGACACATGGGAGGATTTCCGTCGAGAAATCAAGAGGCAGTTCTACCCGGAGAATGTGGAGATGGAGGCTCGTGCAAAGCTTCGACGACTCACCCACACCGGCGGAATTCGTGAGTATGTCAAGGAGTTCTCGGAATTGCTACTCGAGATCCCCGATCTGCCGGACAAGGAGGCTTTATTTGGCTTCCTTTTCGGATTGCAACCTTGGGCAAAGTTGGAGCTCGAGAGGCGTGGAGTGCAAGATCTTGCTACCGCCGTAGCAACGGCAGAGGCTCTCACGGAGTACAAGAAGAGTGAGAGGCCGAACGTGTCGAAGAACTCGAAGAGAAAAGGAGGAGGAGATCATCGGCCGCACTCCAAAGAAGGAAAAGGCTCGTACCAACATGGAGGCTCGAGCAAGGGGGCAAGATCTGGTAACTTTGACAAACCCATGTCTTGTTTCCTTTGCAACGGTCCACATAAGGTGCGAGATTGCCCAAAGAAGAGCAAGCTAGCAGCCTTGGAGAAACAAGAAGGGGAGACCAAGGAGAATGCTAGGGAAGACGAAGGGAAGATAGGCTCCATGCGGAGGCTAGGCGCGGCGAAGTTCGGTGCCAACGAAGTTAGCAAGGGGAGATTCTTTGTGATCACCCAATTCGAGGGAGGCGAGTCAAAAGCATTGGTTGACACCGGTGCGACCGACAACTTCCTTCGAGTGGAGGAGGCGGAGCGCTTGGGGATCGCTTACGAGAGAAGGCAAGGATCGCTCAAGACCGTCAATTCCGAGGCAATACTCATCCATGGGGTTGCCAAAAACGTGCCTTTAAAGATTGAAGGTTGGGAAGGTGCTGCCGACTTTAGCGTCATCACTATGGACGACCATCTGGTCATTCTTGGCGTCAACTTGATGGAGAAAGAGGGCGCGGTGATGGCAATGAAGTCCAACACTCTCTGCCTTGACAAGGGAGATAAATTTTGCGCGGTAAAGATGTTGCGCGAAGAAGGGCCAAAGAGAGCTTTATCGGCCATGCAATTGGTGAAGGGAATGAAGAGGATGGAACCCATGTTCCTTGTCACTTTGCGAGCGAAGGAAGAAGGAGGCTCGGTGGTGCCAACACCTCTCATCGAAGGCGTGTTGGAGGAGTTCGTGGATGTGATGCCAAAGGAGCTACCAAAGAAGCTCCCGCCAAGAAGAGAAGTCGATCACAAGATCGAGCTTGAGCAAGGGGCGACGCCACCAGCAAGAGCACCTTATCGCATGGCCCCTCCAGAGTTGGAGGAATTGAGGAAGCAACTCAAGGAGTTGATGGATGCTGGCTTCATCCAATCGTCGAAATCCCCCTATGGAGCACCCGTTTTGTTCCAGAAGAAGAAAGATGGTTCCTTGCGGATGTGCATCGATTATCGAGCTATTAACAAGCTCACGGTGAAGAACAAGTGGCCAATCCCCAATATTGGCGACTTGTTTGATCAACTCGGAGAAGAAAAATGGTTCACGAAGCTTGATCTTCGCTCGGGGTACTACCAAGTGAGGATAGCCGAGGGGGACGAGGCGAAGACGGCATGCGTGACGAGGTATGGCTCATATGAGTTCTTAGTTATGCCTTTTGGTCTAACCAATGCTCCTGCTACTTTTTGCACCTTGATAAACCAAGTATTCGAGCCGTTCTTGGATCGCTTCGTGGTGGTGTACTTGGATGACATCGTGGTGTACAGCAACACACTCGATGAACATGCTGAGCACTTGCGACAAGCGTTTCAAGTTCTTCGAGACAACAAGCTCTACGTCAAGAAGGAGAAGTGCACGTTTGTAGCCGCGGAGGTTCCCTTCCTCGGCCACATCATTGGTGGAGGCAAGCTAAAGATGGACGAAGCAAAGGTGGAAGCGATACGAGGATGGGAGCCGCCAACGAGGGTCACCGAGTTGCGATCATTCCTCGGCCTGGCCAACTATTATAGGAGATTCATCAAGGGATACTCCGCTCTTGCAGCACCCTTGACGGATCTTCTAAAGAAGAACAAGGCTTGGGAATGGTTGGATCGGTGCCGCGAAGCATTTGAAGCCTTGAAGAATGCGGTGACGAAGGAACCAGTGCTAGCACTTCCCGATCCAACCAAGGCGTATGAAGTGCAGACGGATGCTTCCGATTTTGCAATCGGTGGAGTGTTGATGCAAGAAGGGCACCCAATTGCTTTTGAGAGCCGCAAGCTCAATGAGGCAGAGAGGAGATATGCGGTGCAAGAGAAGCAGATGACGGCGGTGGTCCATTGTTTGAGAATGTGGAGGCATTACTTGCTTGGGTCGAAGTTCGTTGTAAAGACGGACAATGTGGCGACGAGTTACTTCCTCACACAGAAGAAGCTCACGCCCAAGCAAGCAAGGTGGCAAGATTTCCTCGCAGAGTTCGACTTTGTGCTGGAGTACAAGCCGGGGAAAGCCAACTTTGTTGCCGATGCTCTTAGCCGAAAGAGCGCACTTGCCGCAATCAGCCAGCCGCAATTCCCCTTGAAAGAGAGGATTGAAGAAGGCCTTAGCCACGACCCCTTTGCCAAAACCGTGGTCGAGTACATCAAGCAAGGGAAGACTCGACGGTTTTGGATGAAAGGTGGGCTCATCGTAACTAAGGGGGAGCGAGTGTTCGTGCCGCGGTGGGACAACCTACAAAGGGAGATCATGAAGGAGTGCCACGACTCCAAGTGGGCTGGTCATCCCGGCATTGAGCGCACACAAGCTCTCATTGAGGAGGCTTACTATTGGCCTCGTATGAAGGACGACGTGGAACTCTACGTCAAGACTTGTCTTGTTTGCCAGCAAGACAAGATGGAGCAGCGGAGTCCGGCGGGCTTGTTGGAGCCATTACCCACTCCACAACGGCCTTGGGAAAGCGTGAGCATGGATTTCATAATCGGCCTTCCCAAAGTCGAAGGGTGTGGTTCCATCATGGTCGTCGTCGACCGATTTTCGAAGTATGGCGTCTTCATCGCGGGGCCCAAAGACATGACGGCCGAGGATGCAGCCCGCTTGTTTTTCAAGCATGTTGTGAAGTATTGGGGCATCCCGGTTAGCATCGTCAGCGATAGAGACGGCCGCTTCACCGGCAAGTTTTGGAGGGAGTTGTTCAAGATGATGGGCTCCGATCTAAACTTCTCCACGAGCTTTCATCCTCAAACGGATGGGCAAACCGAGCGGGTCAATGCTTTGGTGGAGGTCTACTTGAGGCATTATGTGAGTGCCAACCAGAAGGATTGGGTGAAGCTATTGGATGTAGCCCAATTCTCCTACAACTTACACCGAAGTGAAGCGAGCATGAGTCCGTTCGAGTTGGCTACCGGGCAACAGCCGTTGACACCTAATACGGTGACGACGGGGTACAAGGGCAACAACCCTTCTGCCTACAAGTTTGCACGAGGGTGGCACGAGAAGATGGAGTTGGCGAAGTCTTATCTCGCTCGAGCAAAGAAGAAGATGAAGAAGTGGGCGGATAAGAAGCGGCGTCACTTGGAATTCGAGGAGGGATACTTGGTGATGGTGAAGTTCTTCCCTCATCGATTCAAGCACCTCAAAAATGTGCACAAGGGGCTGCAGCGACGATATGAAGGGCCATATCCGATCTTGAAGCGGATTGGCACGGTGGCGTAAAAAGTCAAGTTGCCATCGCACTTGGAGATTCATCCCGTCTTCCATGTGAGTCAATTGAAGGCATATCATGATGACAAGGAAGATGGAGCACGAAAGGAGTCGACGAGGGCACCAACTCTCGTCACCACAACACATGAGCACGAAGTTGAGGAGATCTTGGCTCATCGTGTTGTTCCTAGGCGTGGTGTTCACCCAAGCTACGCGGAATATCTTGTCAAGTGGAAGGGGCGGCCAGAAAGCGACATCACTTGGGAGAAGTAGCTTTCGCTATGGCGTCATAAAGACTTGATCGAGGCATTTCATGCGGAGTCCGCGACGAGGGCATCGCGAGATTGAGTGGGGGAGAATGTTACGGAGAAGATTTTAGAGAATTCTAGAAGGATGTAGGTACATGCATGCATCTTGCAATTCATGCACCAATGTACATACATCCCCCCTTTCCTATCTTTTATTCATGCACCTATTTATTATGATTCATGTATGAGTGCTTATGCATTCACCTTATTTATTACATTCATGTATGGGGCTAGTTCATGTATGGGGGGACTTCTCATACACTTCAGGTTTCATCGGAAAAAAAATGCTCTCAACTGTAAACACCGTGCTCTCTGCTCCGGTACCGGTAGTCCATCCTGACCGGCCACCGGATCCAGGCCCAACTCTCACCGATAACTCTCCTGATCCGGCAGGGTTCCCTCCGGCCACAGGAACGGACATGCTCATTGACCCTTCGGCGACCACGTCTCCGACGATAACTTCCTCAGCTGTTCCTGCGGCGGCGACACCGACCTCTACAGACCCCCAACCTAAATTCTCGTATGCTTCGGCGGTGGCAGGCTGGAGGATGTCGGAGGCTGATCAAGTTTCAATGAAACAATGGACCCCTGTGGGGGAAAATGATCTCATCCCCGGCAAACGGAATGGTGAACCAGCGCTCAATATCTCCAGTGAGTTTAAGAACAGGATTTGTGCCCCCTGGCAAAGAACGATCGTGGTGCGACTGCTTGGCACAAAGATTGGCTTCAATGCCCTTTGCTCTCGCCTTCGCAGCCTCTAGAGACCTATTGGCTCTATGGAGATTCGCGACCTCGACCAAGATTGTTTCCTAGTAAAGCTCAGCAATGAGCAGGATTATTTCAGAGCCCTCACAGACGGACCATGGACGATCTTCGACCACTACCTGGCGGTCCAACAATGGACGCCAAACTTCAAGGTTTCAGATCCTCTCCCGAAGACGATGATTGTCTGGGTTCAGCTGCCAGCCTTGAAAATCCATTTCTACCATAAGGAGGTTCTCACAACTTTGGGCAATCTCATTGGCCGTACCATCAAGCTCGATTACCACACGCTCAACCTTCAACGTGCGAAATTTGCTCGACTGGCGGTCGAGGTGGACCTCTCCAAACCCCTGGTGCCCCGCATTTGGTTGGATGACGCTTGGTAGAAGGTCGAGTATGAGAATTTGCCGGATGTTTGCTTCGAGTGTGGGGTCATTGGTCACACATCAGCCTGCTGTCCGCTGCGACAGACGGCCAGGCCACCGGCGTTGATGGCGATAACCGGCGGCGAATCCCCGGGGAGAACCTCCGAGCCGGTAACGGAAGAACCAAACCCGGGTTTCGGGCCGTGGATGTTGGTCACACGCAAAAACAGGCGGAATCTTAGGGATACTCCTCAAAAAGCTAAATCAGAAGGGGAAACAAGAAATATCAATGGGGGTGTTCAGACAAAACAAGGAAAGATTGGGGGTGGGGATAAGGAAGGAGGAGGCATGACTGCCTCGTGGTCCCTGGCATCTCCTTCTGATACCCAACGGACCTCTGGCCAAGAAAGGAAAGGAGGATCAGGAAAGAAAGGAGGGGAGGAAGGCAGGAAGGGAAAGGGGACTTACTCCGAATCCCAGGGCAACGGTAAGGGGATCTTGGGCTCTGGCCCGGAGAAGAAAATGAACGTGAGGAGTGGGCCTAAAGACCAGGCCCAAGCATCAACGTCAGCCCAATCGTCACATAAGCCGAGTACTCCAACGAAGCCCAAACCCCTGGCTTTGGTCGGCTCCCAGCAAATGGGCTTGGCCAAGACTTCTCTGAAGCCCGATACAAAGCCAGTCCAGCAATCAAGCCCACCTACGGTCCAAACGATCACGGGAGAGAATGGAACAATTATGCAGATTGTTCATCTTCAACCAAAGCCAGTGGAACGCCCAACCTCCCAGGTACCTGCTGTTCCTTCATCAACCAAGGACAGGACAAAACGAGGGAAGGCAAAGCAGGCGGATCATCGTAGAACTCCCACGAAGCTAAGCCCGCTGAGAGGGCTGCATATATGAACTTCGAAGAAGGAGCGCAGGTCCAAATCCAAAGGACGAATTGCGGCGCTGACGATGAAAGAAATCGCCGCCTGGACCTCGGCGGCCAATTCGACGACGGAGAACACGGAGGGAGGCGCAGGGGCTGGTTCGCGGGAGGAGCAAGCGGCGAATCCTTCACAGACCGCCCTCGACATCTCGATTCCTTGATTCCTCCTCGACATCTCTTTTCCTTCTTTTTCTTTCTTTTCCGTTTTCATGTCTATGTCGATGTCTATTAATACTAAGTTAAAAATTTTCTCCTGGAATGTAGGAGGGGCAGGGGGTCGAGCCTTCCTTCGATCTCTGAAGCTTGTGATTCAGCAGCAGCGCCCTGATTTTGTCATTCTCCTGGAGCCGCAAATTAGCGGAGCTGCTGCGAATTCAGTCTGCGATAGATTGGGTTACCCGAACTCAATCCGTATTGAAGCGGATGGTAGACGGGGGGCATCTGGGTCTTTTGGGATGCTGGAAGGTTCACTGTCCACCCCATTGCTGCTTGCAACCAGCACCTGTCTTTGAGAATTGATGAGGCCAACAAGCAGTCGTGGTACTTGACGGCAGTGTATGCGTCTCCAAGACCCAGTGAGCAATAAGGGCTGTGGGACAACCTTACCGAGCAGAGCAGATGGATCGACTCACCATGGCTCATCACGGGGGACTTCAACGCCATCCGCACCTTGGAGGAGAAGTCCGGCTCCCCGACTGCTTGCGCCGTGAGGAGATGTCGAATGTTCAATGATAGGATCAACGGAGCGGAGTTGATTGACCTTGGTTTCTCAGGAGAAAAATTTACGTGGACGAGGGGAGACCATAATCACACTTACAAGGCCAGCCGGTTGGACAGGAGCCTCTGTAATCTGAGATGGAATGAGATCTATCCCAATACGTCGGTCATCCATCTCCCCAGGCTCCATTCTGATCACCTCCCCATCCTGACCTCCGTCTCTGACCAGAATAGTAGCCGGAACAGCAGCCGCCCTTTCAAGTTCGAGGCGGCCTGGTTGATGCATGAGGAGTTGCAGGGTTTTGTTTCGGAAATGTGGGAACAGCAAGCCTCCTTCCCTGATGCCATTGTCAACCTCGCGGGGAAGCTTCTGGAGTGGAATGCCAACACTTTCGGCATCATCCAGCAGAAAAAGAATCGCCTGCTGGCGCGCATCAAAGGCATTGATTCCAGAATGGCAGCTAGTTTTTCTCCTGGTCTGGCGAAGCTGCGTGCAAAGCTCGAGACTGAGCTGGATCAGATCCTGGAGCAGGAAGAGATCCTTTGGTTCCAGCGCTCGAGGGACAAGTGGGTGAAGTACGGGGAGCGCAACACGGCCTATTTTCATCAGCAAGTCAATATTCGTAGGAGAAGGAACCGAATTGAAGCTCTACTCGACGAAAATGATTCTTGGGTGACGGATCCTCTCTCCCTCGCTGTTTTGATCTTTGATTTTTTCTCTAACCTCTTCTTGCAGGAGAACTCACCTTATGAGGACAGGCTTCCCAAGAACAAGTTTCCGCGGCTAAACAACTTGGAGATGCTGCTCCTTTTAAGTCCGTTCACAATTATGGATATTCATAGAACGGTCTTCGAGATGAAACCTTTCCAGGCGCCTGGTCCGGATGGCTTCCATGCCGTGTTTTACCAGCAACTTTGGGCAATCGTTGGAAAGAAGCTCTCTGACATGGCGATGGGTTTCTTCTCCACGGGGATGCTTCCTGAAGCCATCACGGAGTCTACCCTTGTGCTGATTCCGAAAGTGGACAACCCGGAAAGAGTCACTCAACTCCGCCCCATATCTCTCAACAATGTCAGCCTCAAAGTTATCACGAAGACTATGACTAGCAGGCTCAAACCCCTCATGAGGAAACTTGTTTCACCCAGGCAAAGCAGCTTCATACCCGGGAGACAGACAACATTATGGTCGTGCAAGAAGTTCTTCACACTCTGGAGAGGAAGAGAAGCAAAAAAGGGGGGTTGATCTTCAAGATTGATCTGGAGAAGGCCTACGACAGACTCAGGTGGGACTTTTTGAGAGACACTCTCAAGGAGGTGGGCCTTCCAAGCACTTGGATCAACTGCATTATGACTTGTGTGGAGCAGAACAAGATGAGAATCCTTTGGAATGGCGAGATGTCTCAACCTTTCTCGCCCTCGCGAGGAGTCCGTCAGGGAGACCCCCTTTCCCCTTATCTCTTTGTCCTTTGTATGGAACATTTGTCTCACAAGATAGATGAAGCCGTGAATAATGTTCAATGGAAAGCTTTAAAGCTCTCTGCTAACGGACCATCTCTCACCCATTTATTCTTTGCTGATGATCTCCTTTTGTTTGCAGAAGCAGAGACGATTCAGATCGAGATGGTGAAGCAACGCCTAGCGGATTTCTGTTTCAGCTCGGGGCAGAAGGTCAACTACAATAAGTCAATCCTGTATGTCTCCCCTAACGTTAGTAGACGGAGAGCCTCTCGTTTGAGTCATCTAGCCGGGGTCCCTCTGAAAGCGGCCCTGGGGCGGTATATGGGAATTCAGGCGATTCAGCAACGGGTAACGAGAGAAAGATATCAGTCCCTTATTCTCCGTATTCAGAAGAGGATGGCCCCTTGGAAGGCCAAGCGTCTCTCCATGGCAGCTAGGATCACTTTGACCAAGTCAGTGGCGGCCTCTCTGCCGGTCTATACCATGCAAACGGAGTTGATTCCCGGCGGCGTGTGCAAGGCCATCGACAAGCTCAGTAGGGATTTTATTTGGGGTGACGAGGAGGACAAGACGAAGATGCACCTGGTCGCCTGGGGGAAAATGACAGCTCCGAAGTGCCAGGGAGGGATTGGAATTAGACCAAGTCGGCAAGCAAATCTTGCGATGCTAGTCAAAGGGGGCTGGCGTTTGATCACAGAGAAGGACAGTCTGTGGGCTCGAGTGATGCGGGCGAAGTACGGGAGAAACAGACAGGGCCTAAATGTCCTCCGGCCAATTCAGGGAAGTTCCTTTACTTGGGCTAGCCTTTCTAAGGCTGCCCATCTCTTGCAAAAAGGCTGTGCCTGGAATATTAAGAATGGCATAACTACTAAATTTTGGATTGATCCGTGGATTTCGCAGGTTCCTCTTCGAGACTTGGTGACTGGCGACATTCCTCTTGAGATGGAGGAGGCGGCAGTTGCGGACTTTGTGGAGAACGACGGGAGTTGGCGCACTGATCTTTTTGACAATATTCTGCCGATCGAGATTGTCCAAAAGATCCGGAGCATTGCTGTGGACACTCTTTCACAGGAACCGGATCAGCTGTTCTGGGCTGCTTCAGCCGACGGCCGTTTCTCCACCAAGTCGGCTTTCACGCTTCTCAGTTCGCAGCAGCAGGACCCGGACGAGAAGATCTGGAAGACTATTTGGCGGCTCCCCATTCCGGAACGGATTAGATGCTTCATGTGGCTGACTTTTTCTGGGAAGCTAGTTACCAATGGCCTCCGGTTCACGAAGAAGATTGCTCCTAACCCCTTCTGTGACAGGTGCCCAGGGAGACTCGAGATGATTCTCCATATTCTCAGAGACTGCCCCCAGGCTCTTTTCTTCTGGTCCAGGGGAATCATGAGCGAGCAACAGCAGCACTTCTTCAGTACTTCTCAGGAGGATTGGTTGAGGATAAATCTTTTAGACGACAGGCAGACTCCATATGGCATTAGCTGGCCAGCTTTCTTCAGCATGGCGGCCTGGCTTATCTGGAAGAATC